AACAGAATCGTTTATGAGCCATGCTATCTATTTTTGGTATTCTGATTCTACTGCGATACCTTTTTAATTATATGTATTTTACTAAAACCTGTTTTAAATTATTTTTGTCATCAAAAAATTAATTGTCAAACTATGTGTATGAATAAATAATTCAAATTATCTTCAATTTCAAATTACTCAGCAGTACAGGTTTCTACTACATGTTTCATACTTAATCTGAAATTTAATTTCCAGAAAGAATTCAAAGTATGTGTTCTATATTTTCTTTATGTTCTTAGGTAACTTAGTATCACTTCTGAACAAGCAACTAAAAGAGTATGTTCTAATGATACATTCTAATAAGAAATTATGGTAATTTAAAAAGAATACAATATGTAAACTGTCAGGCCTTTGACAATCTTGAGCTCATTTTTCCTTGTCCTCTTCCAGCAAGAAAGAATATTTTCCTGGAAGCTAAATGATAAAATTTAATTCTTTTATGTTTTTCATTGCTTTTGCTCTCATCTGAATCTTCCATCTATTCTTTTTTCTTTTTTCAGAACTGGTCACTTCAGTTTATCACTAGTCTACATTCAGTTCTGGGACTCAGTAAGAAATTGGATAAATTGGTAGAGACTGGACTGGAAATAGAGGGAGCTTGAAGCCATGTAATATAAGAAAATGTTGAAGAAAATGGAGATTTTAATCTGGGGAAGTCTAAGGGGAAAAGGAAGGTGGTCAAGGAAATTGCCTTTGCATTTTTAAAGAGTTGGTGTGTGTAAGGGTGACTAGAGGTCCTGCAGCCTCCAGGCAGAATTAGAACTCGAGGCTTTTGCCATAATTTAGAGCTGTCTCCAGCAGTGAGTTTTCTAGAACTGCAGGTGCACCAGCATGGGTTGCAGGGTGGTTGAAGCGGTTTTCAAGCAGTGGTTGAGGAGTTAGATTTAAATTTTGTCGTTTTCAGGGCGGGTGCAGTGGCTCACATCTGTAATCCCAGCACTTTGTGACCCCGAGGCGGGCGGATCACTTGAAGTCAGAAGTTTACATAGTGAAATCCTGTCTCTATCCAAAAAAAAAAAAAAAAAAAAAACCAGGAAAATTAGCAGGATGTGGTGGCGCATGCGCCATAGTCCCAGCTACTTGGGAGGCTGTGGTAGCAGAATCGCTTGAACCGGGGAGGTGGAGGTTGCAATGAGCCGAGATGGTGCCACTGCACTCCAGCCTGGGCAACAGAGCAAGCAAGACTCCCTCTCTGGGGGAAAAAAAAAACCTGTTTTCAAATTCGACACTTTCTACACTTACCTGCTGAATTTCTGTGTGTAATATTACTTTCCTTTTCCGAGGTTGAGTGATATTTAAAATCGCTCAGTATTTCCTTTATATGTGAAATGCCTTTCTTCACTGTTTCTTAAAAGTCCATTCCTTAAATTTATATCAAGTTGGGTGATTGGAAATGTTTCTTCCATTATCTTCCCTCGTAAACTGCAAAAGCATGCCTTTATTATGAAACGACAACCAACAGGAACTTTGACCTCATGATAATTGAGAGAATAAAGTGTTTTATGATGTCATCAGAACCTTGTTATGTATTATATGTGTGCTGTGTGTGCACAATCTAGTTTATATTTTTCTTGTAGAGTTTCTTATACCATCTAGATTGGCTTAGAGAGATTTGATTATACTGACACTTTCCTTCCATGTAATTTTGTTGTTTGTTTGTTTGAGACGGGGTCTCTGTCCCCAGAGACATTGAACGGCTGGTGTGCAGTGGCATAATCACAGCTCACTGCAACCTCAGCCTCCCGGTTCAAGCAATTCTGCTTCAGCCTCGTGAGTAGCTGGGATTACAGGCTCCCCCCCCACCATGCCTGGCTAATTAAAAAAAAATTTTTTTTAATTTTTTTTAAGACGGAGTCTCCTCTGTTGCCCAGGATGGAGTGCAGTGGCGTGATCTCGACTCACTGCAACCTCCGGAGTAGCTGGGGTTACAGGCATTTCACCACACCCAGCTAAGTTTTGTATTTTTTTTTAAGTAAAGGCGGGGTTTTGCAATGTTAGCCAGGCTGGTCTCAAACTCCTGACTTCAGGTGATCCTCCTGCCTTGGCCTCCCAAAGTGCTGGGATTATAGGTGTGAGCCACGGCACCTGGCCCCATGCAATGTTTTAAAAAAACTGAATTATTTACAGAGTTTTATTATCTTTGTAAATATGCTAAGGAAAAGTAGACATTTTCATTTGAATTTAAGGACTTCCATTTGTTAGGTCATCCTTCCTCATGATCAAAATTTCAAGCAGGAGAGTTATATAAAAAAAGATTTTAATAAATTCATTTTGGAAAATAAGAGGGTGTTCAATTAAATCTGCTTCTCTGAAAGTGTAGATTTAGAGTTCTTTTCATTAGACTATTTACTTTGTGAAATTAAAAGTTGGTGAGTTGAATGAGAACTCTGACTTCTATTTCTAATGCACACTTTCTAATACAAAACTCCTGAAAAAGTGTTAGGGAATTTGAGTTCAGATTCTGCAAGAATTTTAAATCAACGTCTTTGGAAATAAAATAACATCTTTGGATTAATTTTGCTTTTAAACAAAGTAGGTAAATTTATTGAGAGATTAATATACTGTGTTTTCCCCTATCTTTCATATAAGAAATAAAAGAATTTTTTTTTTTTTTATAAAATAATTTGAGGCCGGGCGCAGTGGCTCAGTTTGTAATCCTCCCATTGCTGTGGAAAGCCAAGGCAGGGTTGTGCTCAGGAGGTGGACACCAGCCTGGCCAACATGGCAAAACCCCGTCTCTACAAAAAATACAAAAATTAGCTGGGCGTGGTGGCGCACGCCTGTATACCCAACTATTTGGGAGGCTGAGAACGGAGAATCGCCTGAACCCAGGAGGTGGAGGTTGGAGTGAGCAGAGATTGAACCACTGCCTTCTAGCCTGGGTGACAGAGCGAGACCCTGTCTCAAACCAACAAAAACACACACAAAACCCCACAAACAGAAACTGGAATTGGCCAACATGATTGTTGAGATTTGGGAGAATAAACTTCAGGCAAAATTTAACTAACTGCGTGAGTGTGGAAACATATTTGAGAGATGCTTCCTTCATTAGGACTCTGTAGCGGTGGCCGGTGGCCCGTAAAACATGGATGAATGGCACCTCAACAGAGTTGAACACTCATAACAACTCAGTTTTTCAGGACTTTGACAGTTTAAAAAATTCTTTTGATATATAAATGTTTTCTCACGCGAAAATTAGGGGATGGAAGGCGGTGCTCTTTAGCGATTCACCTTTAAATGTATATGGATCTGGGCTGAGAGTTTAAAGATTTGGATGTTAGGCTAGGTTCTGTGTTCAACTGTCTTAGAAGGGAATGTTTGATAAGAATTACTGAGATGTTCTGAGTGATTTTTCTGAACATCAAAGTAATATTCGTTTAATGTGTTTGTGCCTGTTTAGCTTTTTGGAGAGCCAACGAGGCCAGCTAACGGGCTGGGCCCAATGGGTTGAGCTTTATTCCCTGGCCTCAGAAGGCTCGCGTCCTTAGTCGGCTCTGCACTGGTGCGCCTCCTTTCTCCCTAGAGGTAACCAAGCTACTGCGAAGGAAAAGGCCGCCACGAGTTTCTTGCTTTCTGGAGAGACCCCTCAGAGCGCATGCTCTTAGGATGGTGGGTCTACAGCGCCATTTTTTTAAGGAAGGGACTGCACGCTGATTAGGCACAGCCGTAGGACGCTCAGCGTTAAAGTTGTTTAAACAGTACGTAGAGCCTCGCAGAAAGACAAGGGCCTCTTTCAGCGGGACATCTGCCTGCAGCGCTTCAGCTGAGACTATGTAAAGAAATTCCTTTGTGTTAACTTTTCCTTGGACCAGTGGACTCTCCTCTCCCTCCTTTCCCCCCGCCCCGACCCGGGCTGGCTCAGCGGTCCCGCCCTGTCCCTCCGGGACCCGAGCCCTGTAAAGATTAGGCATTTGTGATGCTTTTGCGCTCACAGTGGAGGCCCAGATGAGAGGGCGTGGAGAACCAGATGGGAACTTTTTTTTTTTTTTTTTTTCCCGTGAGAACAAAGTACAAGTTATATCAGAGTCTGGTATGTGTAGAGGAAACCAATACACGTACTGTGAGCTAGGACCTGGGGCTTCTTTTGCAATTGTATTTTTTATAAAGATGCAGGCTCTCTCAGTAGTGGGCGTGGGGGTTGGTTGAAAGGTTAGCTAGAGGCAAGGCTGGGCACGGAGATCCGAGGTCTTGACGAGTGTGCGTGTGTGCGCGCGCGCGTTTCAAGAGTTTAGAAGAGCATGGGTGAGTGGGCGAGAAAGAAAGAGAATGTGAGAGATAGAGAAAAGAAATCTCGAGTGGGACAAGACTTAGTGAGTGCAGAAAAGAAAGGGGGCGCCGGCGCATCCTAGACTCGGAGGCCGGGACAGCGCCCTCTGTGAAGTCCACTCCTAACCCCGCGGTTTCATTCATGTTTCTGGCCTAGAGGCCCCGCCCGCTCCCCTGGGCCGAGGGCCCCGTTTCCTGAACAGCAATTGGTGAACTGCAACAAAGCCTTAGCAACCGGCTCCTGGTGACCCGCGGGGCGCCTGGTAACTGGGGCTGCTGCAGAGAAAGGAGAGGGGCTGTCCCTTTAAGGGATGGCCGCGCAGTCGTGAAAGTGGAGGGGGCTGAGGGAGGGCGGGGAGGAAGGTCTGGGGGCGGACCCAGGGGGAGGAGGAGGAGGAAGAGTAACTGCTGAAAGGAGGTGGCGAAGGAGGAGCTCTAGCAGCTGCTGCCAGCCCGCGGCCGCCGAAGTCCAGCCGGCTGCCGCTCGAGTAGCCAGGGGCGCGATCGGGACCAGAAGTCTCCTCCTCCATGACCACTTTGGAAGCTGGGGGAAGACTTTGCCCTGCCGTGAGAGCTGGTCTGCGTTTCCCAGGCGCAGCGGCGGCGGAGGAGCAGCAGCAGCAGCCGGGTCCGAATCGGAGCGGCCACAGCCTGGGGCGTGTGCGCCCCGCGCGGAGCGGGCTCGAGTTCCCCTCGGAATGTCCCCGGGGCGCCCGGCGCGCTGACCCCGAAGCCACCTCTGCCTTCGGCGCCTGCTGCTTCTCTTGGCCGGGCTCGGAGATCGGGACTGTGAGCTTCCTGGCTCCTGGGCAGTGGGGAAGCCCCCGGGGGCGAGTGACCCCAGCTGGCCACGACCCAGCCCTCCCCCGTGCGTATCTCGCTTAAGATGGCAGCGGAGTCAGGGGAACTAATCGGGGCTTGTGAGTTCATGAAAGGTGAGGAGGAGCCGCCCCGCATCTTCCCACCCTCTCTTGCCCCCAACTCTTCACTTCCCGTGCCACTGTCCCCACCTTCTCCTGAGGCTGCCAGTCTCCTACAGCCGCTGCGCGCGCTCTCGTCCCCTCTCGGGACTCTCCTTTCTCCGAGGACCCCCCGCTTCCGGCTTCTCTTTCTTGCGTCCCTCGCTCCCTCTGCAGCTCCCTCGGATGGCCTCTCGGCCTCGTAATGGGACAGCGCTGGCTTCTGCACGGACTCTGGCACTCAGCAGCTCATGGGGAGCCTGCTGCGGTTGCTCACCCTTTTCCTTTACTTCACCATCGCAGGCTTCGGTTTTCGGGACTCCCCCCAAGCACACCCCCTAAGTTTCTCTCCCTTCCTCTTTTTGAAATCTCCGGAGCTGCTGGGGGGAGGCACACCTCTCTTACCCTTCTGCAGAAGAGAGGCACGCACACCTCTCTCTTCCCCTTCTGCAGCTGCTGAGGTCTGGAGATTTGGGAACCAAACTTGCACCGCCAGTTCTGCGGGTAACCCCAGCTCCTGTCTACTCCGCTGGCCTGAAAAAGGGACATGTGGGCACTCTGCGCCCCGCTGAGTCCCTCGGTCAGGTCCTCCTCTAGCCTAACTGTTGTGCTCCTGAGTCTCTAGCTTTCTGTGAGAGGTCAGATTTCTGCAAGAATTCCACGTGTTATTGAGGTCTTTAAATCATTATCCTTCGTGTGTTATTACGCCCCTTCACTTCCACTTCCCTATTTCTCATGTGTTTTTTTCTGTCTTTTAAACTTATCTTTCAGATCGGTTATATTTTGCTACTTTAAGGAATAGACCAAAAAGCACAGTAAATACCCACTATTTCTCCATCGATGAGGAGCTGGTCTATGAAAAGTAAGTTTCTATTTTTTTTTTTTTCTCTCTCAGCTGTTCAGCTTGTTCTTTGGTGAGGAAACACTATGCACTTTTATGGCAGTTTTTTTCATTTTTCCCCAATGATGTGAGTAACAATACCAGTTTTTTAAGGCTCAGGTGTCTGGGGAGAAGTTCAGGGAAAATTAACAAAATTTGAACCTTTCAACACCTCTGTTCTTTTAGACATCTATGTTTTAGTTCTTCCTACCATCACAACAAACAGCAACTGGAGATTCCTAACACTCCCCAGAGTAGGACCAGGGAGACACAGTCATTGCCAGACTCTGTAATTGGCTTGTGAATCAGTCACTAAGTATTTATGGAGCGGCCACAGGGTGCAGGGCAGTGTATGTATTACAGGTGCCTGAGCTTTATACTTTACGAGGCTTGTGTTGTATCTCAGGATGTTTTTGTTTGTGCAGCTCTTTTTCAGAAAGTGGGACACATTAACTGCGGGGAGCTGTATCAGAGTCACATCTATGACTAACATCTTATCTGACATATTACTGATTATTTTATTTGGGTACCCCAAACTTTTTGATATTATTTTCTTTGCTTCTGAGGAAATGATATAGCAGTGCTGGCTTATTTGATTACTTTGCTTCTGTGGGATTAGGATTTGAGAGTGTTAAATAAAAGTAGGGAATTGTTTTCTGTGAAAGACCACTGATCTACAGGAAAAAGATATCTTAATGGCATAGTAAAACATTAATTGAAGAGAGAGAAATCTTTATTCAATAAAAGTATCAGTTAAGAAATAAGTCTGAATTGACTTGGTTATGTACTTTTATTAAAAGAGCTAGTGTTTCAGAGTAGTCTAATATATTCTAATCTAAACATTTACATTTACTTTGTTATCTTTACCACATGTTCATAATTAAATAAATGAACATAATTAAATGAATCATAATTAGCTTCCTTGGACTTGTCTTGTTAGAAAGGTTATTGGCGGTTCTGCCTAAGGATTTGTGGGTACTACCAGGTTTTCAGAGAGTGAGTGTTCTGAACCTTTGAGAGCATATCTTTTATTTGGGGGAAAACAATCTTTGTCACATCACCATAGAGGTTCTTGAAACCGATGTCTGCGACATTTCTCTTAGTGGTGCTGGGAGGAGGATGCTTCTTGAATGGCTAAAGGAAGAGTGGGAATGAAAGAGCCCTTTACTGCTGCTTATGAATGCCCAGAGTTGCTGAGGCAAAGAGGTCTGAGTCCCTGGTGTCGGATTACAGCTCTGCTTCTAGACAGAATGGAGTTATGTGTGGCTGTGTACCTGGATGATGTCACTGCCAGCAGTGTTTATTGAGTGTTCATGCTATTGTTGGGAAACTGCATTGTTGTGCCTCTGTTTTTGTGAGTTTAGAGTTTGGGGGTCTCTCATGATTCTGAGGGTAGGGGTGGTGTATATGTCATGTTCAATTCTCTCATGCCAGAGGTTGTTAATATGTCATTGAGCAAGCTCTAGCCATGGAGATCTGAGTCACTTCTCTTGGGATTGCTAGGTGGTAGATCTAGCAGAAAATTCTGCCAACTAAACACAGTGCATGATGGCTTTTTGATTTTAATATTGCTAGATGAGGAAAATTTTTAATGTGATTTTCATGTTGGTATTTTGGGATAGGCCTACAAATCACATTCCTCTTACAGTCTGCTTCTTTTCTGGTATCTTACAAGGAAAGACTTGCTGGAGAAACCATCCGATTTATATTGTGAGTTTGGATTGTCATTTGAAATATGATGAGGACTCTAGCCTGGTCAGAGTGTGTATTTTTCTCAGTGTGGACCTACCCTCCTGTGCCACAGTAATGGCTGTGGCTCTGCCACCTCCAACTCCATCTTTTTTGTTACCTCAACATATTACATGGTGCTAGGTGATGCAGAGAATAAAACAATGATGAACGCACATGGTACCTTCAAAGAGCTCCAAACCTGTAGGGAAAATAAGAGGACTGCAATATGAGGTATAAGAAAAATACCTGCCCAAAGAGAAATACAGCACCTGTGCTAGGAGAGGAATTCACAGGAGGGTGGGGGCACATCTGGTGGAGGGGTTCAGAAAAGGCTTCGTGGAAGAGTTAATATTGGCTTCAAGGATGGACAAAGTCTTATCAGGCAGAGACATGAGAGGAGGGATCTTAGAAGAGAGAACAGTAGGCATGAGGAAGGGAGAGGCTTTGGACATGTGTTCAGGGAAGAGTAAGTCCTCCAGTTTGCCTGGTGTGTATTCAGGGAACATGTGGGAGTTGGAGAATGTGAAACTGAGAGCTTGGCTGGGGACAGAATGAATGTCAGGGTGAGAAACCTACAGTTTCCTTGGGACTCTTGAGGGTTTTGGGGCAGCCATGGTATGACTTGATTTGTCAAGTCATATACAAGTCATTACAAATAATGGGAAATGTTTATTGAGCATTTAAATGTGTGCCAGTTGCTGTTCTAGGTGCTCCATAACTATTAATTCATTTTGTTTTCACAGCAATTCTACGAGGCAGGCACTATTACCCTTATTGTACGATAAGGCATAGAGAGCTTGGGCCACTTGCCCACCGTCACAGAAGTAAAAGTAGCAGAGCTGGACTTTGAAACCATGTCATCTAGTTGCAGAGGACATATATCCTTCTCAAAAAATTAACACAGTAGCATCACTTAAGATGGGTTTGAGAGAAGATAAGAGCCCACTTAAAAAAAATTCAGGAAGGGCTGGGCGCAGTGTAATCCCAGCTCTGTGGGAGGCCGAGGCAGGTGGATCATGAGGTCAGGAGTTCAAGACCAGCCTGGCTAACATGGTGAAATCCCATATCTACTAAAAATACAAAAATTAGCTGGGCATGGTGGTGAGTTCCTGTAATCCCGGCTACTCGGGAGGTTGAGGCAGGAGAATTGCTTGAACTGGAACCTGAGAGGCAGAGCTTGCAGTGAACTGAGATCGCACCATTGCATTCCCACCTAGGCTACAGAGTGACACTTCGTCTCAAAAAAAAAAAAAAAAAAAAAATTCAGGAGGAAGAACCAAGTACCTGGATTAGGATGGTGACAATGGTGATAGAAAGAAGGGATCTGAAGCCATGTGACCTGGCAACATAGGAGGGCGGGGTGGAGGGGTGCTGAGGAAAAAGAGGAGTCAGAGAAGCCCTTAAGATGGCTTGGGTTGTGGTGAACCTGCTGGAGCTCTTAACTGAAATAAGAAGGGTGGAATAATTGGCTTTGGTGGGAAGATCAGGTATTCCATTTTGGTCAGATTGAATTTAAGAAAGCGAAGCATATTTACATCACTGTTAGATATCACATACGTGTGAGGTTCTTCAATTTGGGAATTTTCCCAAAGAGACAATAAAGCTGTGAGAAAGATGCTCCTGGGAAGATAGAGAAGGTCTCAAGGTCTGTATTTCACAGGTTGGGCCAGGATGGAGCAAGGGGAGGCAGAAGTACACAGCAAAGAGGTGGACACACACTGAAGGGGAGAGGAGAAAGGGAGAAGGACTGACTCCATCCCGTCAGCTCCACTTTGGGGAAGTATAGAATGAGAGAGACTGCAAAGCCCCTTAAAGGAGGTCTAGTAACCTGGGCTCTGTCTGTGGAGGGTGTCCCATGGTGAGAAAGACCTTGACTGTCACATCATAACATACGTGTCTCTGAGGAGAGGAGTATATTTGTATTCATCATCATACAGGACTTTGTACTGTGTAATTATTTGCTGAATTTTTAAATGAAATGCTGCCTTTCCAGCTGGGTATGCTTGTAGTCCCAGCTACACTTGAGGCTGAGGTGGCAGGATCGCTTGAGTCCCACAGTTGAACTGAAAAGCCAGCCTGTCAGCCTGAGCAACACAGTGAGACCCCATCTCTTAAAAAACAGAAATGCTGCCTTTCTGGCTAAATTATCACCTTAGAAGCAATTGGTTTTGAATGAGGAAGTAGACTCTTTAAATATTAGGCTGTGGATATTCTGGATACAGCTGTGTTTTGTACAGATGCTTCTTTAGTTATGAAAGGAGGGCAGCATTCCATGATTGAAATGTCAACCTTCTGAGATGCTGCCGGAGAAAATTTGATGAGGCGTCCTCATGGGGTAAGGCTATTAAGAATAAACGTTTGAATTTTCTGCTTGTTTTTAAAAAACAGAACTTATTACTATAAAGGCCTAAGCAGATTTAATAAAATGAGTCTGATAAGAAATCATGCTTTGTCCTTGGGTTATGATTTCACAGGTCAGGGTTAAAATCAGAGTATAGGCTAACATGCTAGTGGTACAAAAATAGACCCACAAAAAGTGAGCCTTTCAAATAAGATTTATCTCCATTTGATTAAGCTACTAATAACACACAACTCCCCAGAAAGGCTAGTTCTTTGGTATTGGAATTGGGCCCTATAATCCAAACAGAGGCTTACTTTTAATAACTTCACTCACTTTTGTGTGACTAAAAAGTTAGTGAAATCAAATATATTAATTGTTAGGACATCTGTGTACCCCTCCTAGTGGTTGTCATGGGTGTAGGGTTGAATGTTCATGGCATAGAAAGCCAGTTTGCTGAGAAGGATAGTGTATGGGGTCTTCATTTGCAGCCGTTGTCTATTGTCATTTCTTCTTTGTTTGAGTTGTGAAGGAAAGGTATTAAAAATGCAGGAAAGAGCTCTTTAGGGAGAAACTCTGGGGACTGAATTTTAAGCAGTTTCTGAAGTGACCTGAAGGATTTCACCAAATGTTTTAGCGTGTTAAGAATGAGCAGCCTCTAATGAGAACTAATTAGCTAAATGGAAGATTTAAATAATTTAAAACATCCAATTTTCATTTAAACTTAATTAAAGCAGCCTGATAATGCATCCAGGAAGTTTTGGATAATTTATAGAGAAATGATTTCTTTTATCTTGTCTATAGCATAGGCTTGAGTCAAAATGTGAACAGAACATCTTTGAGAGAAGTGTGGAAAAACTTCTCTTGCCTAGAAATATATGTAGGAATGAGTATTTAGATTAGAGGTAGGTCA